TTTTTATTCTAATTTTATTTTTTTAATTTCTCTAAAATTTGAAAATTAAATTATGCTTTGCATTTATTGCATGACTTTGCGCAATATATTGACATGTAAGTTGCGTTCTTGGTGCATTCTCCAGCGTTGGCCTTTTTTACACAATTATTGTCGTAGTCTTGACATTTGGAATACCCTGAAAAATAGTTAAATAAAAAAAAATTTTAACAAATAGTTTTAACACTCTTTTCATGCTAAAAAAAAAAAATATTTAAAGTTCACCTGGACAACTGTACAAAATGTTAATTTGCTTTATATCTATATCGCTAAAACCGTTTCGGTTGCCAATAAGGTTTTGCATTGTTTTATCAATTGTGGAAATAGTTATTTTATCTCCACCAAACGCTGTGGATGGATAATGCATAATTGATAAATAATCGTATGGCGTTCCCAAACTATCGACATTGTTGATGGTTTGTATTTTGAAGTTTAAATCTTTTCCTAAATTCAACAGATTTTTAAATGGTAATCTAATGACAATATAAAATCCCGTGTGTAGTAAATGAATAGTGTGGAGTACCGCAAGGATTAATACTTGGTCCTCTCTTATTCTTAGTTTATGTAAATGACTTAAATAATGCATCAGTAAAGTTAAACCCAATTATGTTTGCTGATGATAGAAACCTATTTCTTGCCTACAATAGTATCAAACAGCTTTATGCAGAAATGAATCTTGAATAGATATACAGAATATTCAATAGCATATCGAGGACCTAAGTTATGGATTTTTTTTTCAAAAAACTAAAAATATGGTTAAATCATTAAACTCATATAAGTTTCAAGCAAAAAATTATTCGTTAATTAGTTACTAATTATATACGTTACTAATAGTTACTAATGATATACGTTTCTTTTAATGTATTAATTATCAAATCTTTTTGTTTATGCTTGTATTTATTTCTTTGTAAATCTAATTATATAGTTATTGCAAAATATCTTTGTAAATGTGAAAATAAGTTTTTCTTGTCAGGGTTAGGGTCAGGGTTAGGGTTAGGGTCAGGGTTTATTTTATATATTTTGTTACTTTTACATCTTGGATTTTTATAACTCTTTTTGAATATTTTATAATTTGAAATGTCAATATTTTATTATATTAAGGGGCTCTATGAAAAGATTAAGGTGATATTGCATTATCCATATCTTCTTTGAATCTGTTTTTAAAGTATTTTATTTATAAATATTTACCATGTAAAACTCATCTGTAATTTATTTTAACAGTGAAATATAAAATGAAAAATTTAAATTTATATTTTGTGGGTTATTAAGGCGCTCAGTATAATAGTTTAAAATTTTAAAATAGTTAACCTGGTTCAATGTTGTTCCAATTTATTTTAATATAGCTATCACGGTCTGGTCGACTCTGTTCATGAAATAGACCTATAAAATGTGAAAATTCAATCGTTAACATATATGAAGAAGTAAAAATAATAATTTTGAGTTTATTCTTGAAAGATCTTGTAGCTTTTTAAAACACTTTACAATGTCTTAAAACATTAATTACCAATTGTATGTCCAATTTCATGCATGATTGTACCAATGTTGTAGCATCCGTCAGACAAAGCAATATCATTAAGCCTGTTGGAACTGTAGCCAACCGGCGAAGAGCACCTGCGTTTAAAAAAAGAATTAATTTATTAATATTTTCATAACACTTTTACTATTTATTTTTAATGGTATATGACATTCTATAAGGAAACCTTTGCTATATATATATATTTTCAAAAACAAAAAAGAAGAAAAAAAATAAAATATTTATTAACAAGAGTGGTTTTTAAACTAAAAATTTATTCTAATGGATATTTCGTGACTTGTTTTCGTGATTAAATGTTTACTTACAACCACAAAGAATCTCACTGACAGTAAAAGAGTAGAAAGTTAAAAAAAAACTTCTCAGAAGGGAATGCGTAATAGAACAAATAATTGTTACTCACCCGGTTCCAGGATAGAAATATACATAGGGAAATTCTCTCTTTCTTTCAACAAATCTTAGACAAGTGTGTTTGTGATATTCTTCAATGGCTTTCGTTATATTTTGTTTTTCTTTTGCGCCTGCGTAGAAATTATTTAAATTTTTTTATACGATGATGTAATGACATCAAGTAATGACGTTGACTACATCTGATATCACGTGACAGGTTCAAATATCAGTTCTTAAATCTAAGAATCTTTAATAAAAGTAGTAACAAAAACAAAAAAAACTGTGTATTGCATTAATATATTAAAATATAATTATTTCAAAACAAAATCTTTAAAGTCTATTGTTAATGTCTATTTTGCTTAACAAATAATAATGACATGTATGGGGAAAATATCATTTCCCACAATAAGTCTTTTTGAGTTGAAAGGGTTACAAAGAAGGGTAGTTGTGCCTGTCCATAGTTAACTACACATAACTTTTGTTTTTAGTTTTGAAAAAATAGTTTGATAAAAATTTTGAGTTTCCAAAATGAGAGTTCACCTTCAGCGCTTGTTCAGAAAACTAAAAGATTTATTTGGAATGTAATATCTAAATTTAAAAAACTTGGCAACAGCCTTTCCTCTACTTATTCCCTAAAGATTTTAGTAACTTTTAGCTAATATTTTTAACAACACAAAAAACTTGAAAGGCGTTTTCCGGATGGAAACATCACAGTTAGTGCTCTTTAGTCCTTGACTTTCGTTGTGAAGTTTCTTTGTAGTAGGATTTTACTTTTTTCAATAATTTCAAAGATATAAAATTTAATGCGCTTGCCACGAAAGTTTGTTATGAAACTGACATACAATTTGATTTTGGTGTGCAACTTAATATCAACCAAATACCAGGCTGTTGGAGACCTTTATAAACAATATCAATTTTTCAAGCAAATCTTTTCAAAACACGTACATTATCGCTGTCTCTAGATGGTCTAATATTTTAACTAATGATTTTTCTCCTTGAACAGCTTTTAATGATTGACATTTGATTTCAGCAATATCAGACAGTCCCTGAAAAATCTCCAAATAATTTCTTTAGAATACGATAAAAGCAAGACATCTTTCTAACCACCTTGATTATGACAGACTCTGCGGTACAAAAATGATGATTTTTACGCGTTTTTAAAATTTGGACTATCGCTGAACTGATGAAGAAAAGAATATATAGACTTAAATACCAAAGTAATTTATTACTGCTGAACAGTCTCCTGCTGCAAACAAACCAACCAAATGGTTGGTTTGTTTAAAAAAAATTAAATTTAAAATGATATTTTACTGTGTATCAGTCTCTTCAATTTTTACTTATTTAAACACATGGCTCTAAATTTTAATTTAAATAAATTTTATAAATATTTTACCTATCCCCATAATTTCAAATGGCACAATTTTGTTAGGCCATAGACGACCTATACTACTAGCAAATTTGTTATTCAATCCAGACATTTCTTCAGGATCCAACTTCATGTCTCCTTCGAATAAGTGTTTATCTAAAAGTAATTCAAAAATACAATTTTACCACTAAATAGCGCAAAAAACTGGAATCAAATTTAATTAATGATTATATGGGAAGTATTAGAGTAAACGAAAAAGTATTAGTGTAATTAATGTAAAGCGTCATAATGTTCACATAAATGGTTCAATGACAAAACCTTGGGGCACACCACTCAACACATCAATCCAATCTGACTAAAGTTCATGCAAAATAATACGTTGCTTCCTGGTGCTGAGAAAGTCTTTTAACCAAATTTAAAATTTGTAATAATAACAAATTATAGTTAAAAAAATAGTTGTTATTATTACAAATTTAAAATTTGTAATAATAACAACTATTACTTGATTATTGTTAAAACAAATCTAAAATGTTTACTTTCCATTTTTGACACCCATTTCGACAAAACCAAATTAAAAACAGCAAAAAAAACTATTATAGATTGAAACTTCATTTTATCAAAATGTTCTTTCAAAGACTCTGGAACTTAACAGGCTTTTAATCATTAATAAAAATGTCTTCAATTTTAAAAACAAACACAGTTGATCAAGCTACATAGCATTTTATTTAGGCAGCTTTTTTTGCTTCTTAACAAAAACTGTGCGTGGCTTAAACATATTTACTTGTCTGCAAAAATTTTAAATGTACACCTATTTATATATAATATTGTAGACCTTGTTTTAAAGCACAGTAAGTTATGATACAGTTATAAAAAACAATTTTATATGTTAACGTGTACAAAAAAATAATTGTGCAAAAGCATCCTTAGAGGTTAATTTACAAATTGTTTTAATAAAGTTTCTACTTTAATATTTAAATAATTACAATATTCAATACTTAATTTACTTATTGCTTTAAAAAACTAAAGATAAGGGGATTTATAAAATTGTTTATAAGTTGGCTATTTCAAACATTTAAAAACCTTCCTACGCCACTGTATATATATATATATATATATATATATATATATATATATATATATATATATATATATATATATATATATATATATATATATATATATATATATATATATATATATATATATATATATATATATATATATATATATATATATATTAAAGTGTTTAAACCATCTCGTAAACTTCAATCAAAACAAAAAACAAAAAAGTATGATGTTTCACAGCACTAAAAAAAAGTTTAAAAAATTATTTAAAAAAAAAAAAATGTTGATAGTTTAGTTGTCATCAAAAGTTGGTTAGATTTTAAATATTTCCAAATAGGGCATACAAAAATCAGTCATTATTTACACTACCATTTTTATATTATTATTAAATGCACGCATATAACTAGAATTTTGAAAGATCAAAACAATAGAACTAAATCAAATAGAAGAAATTCACATCGGACACTAACACTCTATTACTCAACTTGAAAGTTTTACTGAAAGCTCTGCAGTACAATTAAAGATAACAGCGCAAAACAGTTTTTGATAAGAAGTTAAATGATTCAAAGGTTGAAGTAATTGATGACTTTTGTAAAAAAACATTATTAGCTGAGATTTTTAAGATTCCTTTGTTTCCAAAATGTGCACATGTGCACATTCAATAAAACTAAATTAAAATCAGTTTTAATGTTAAATTTGTGGTTTAAATGGCTCTGAACTTTAAAGAAAAATTAGAAACAAAAAGTTTTGACATTAGTAGTTGAATGTTTTGCGTTTGACAGGGTATGTTGTATGACAGAGTATGTAGTATGACAGGGTATGTAGAATGTGTAAAACAGGGATGGGTTATCAATTTATGAAACTGGTATTTTATGAATTAAGTTGCATCTTATGTTTGATCATAGTCTATAGTGTAACATTTAACAAATATAATGGTTCAAGACAAATATAATTATTGTTATAAATAGAATTTCCGTAAATTTTTTTTTAAACGTTGTTTTTATGAGATATCATTATTTACTAACTTTGCTTGACTGTGGCAAGGATATTTCAGAAACGGTTTGACCAAAACTTATCATATTTTGATAGTTTGATGACAATATATTAAGTTGTGCAATAAACCTCAAAATTATATGAGTGTGTGTGTTAAAAACAAAATAGCTATTTTTTAGTCACCAGGGAAGGGGGGTAAAATTGGCATCGCTTTTAAATCATTTAAAGAAACCAAGCAAGGTCTTTAGGATTAAGTTAGATATGATGTTTTTGAGGCTCATTGCATACCTATTACATCAAGCTAGTTATATTCAAAATTTTATTCTACGTGATTTCTTACACTTTGAAATGTTTTTGCCACAAAACTGGCAGTTTTTAACTTTCCGCCACTTAAAAATTTGCTCCCATGGCAATTTCAATTTTTTTTTTTTTTATAGTTTTTTTTTTTTAATTAGTTTTATTGTAAATTTACTGAATATGGAGTAAAAAGTGTTTAACTATCAATTAAAGATTTTTTTGTCTATGGGGTCATGTTTCCGTTAAATTTTATAACTATTTAAGTATAGTAAAATAGTTATTTAAAAAAAAACATTTTAAAAATTGACCTCTATCAATGTTTTTATGCCTTTCTTTTTGTATATATTTTTGACATATAATATCCAATGCCGGATTAACCTGGGCGCAGAGGCACAGCTGCGACCAGCCCCCGAAAAATATGGTCTTAGAAGAGGCCCCAATTTTTTTAAATATATATGCATTTGTGAATTTGTTGGGTCCTTCATATCACCACTGAAATGGCTTAAAAATGTATAAAAAGTACAGCTTTTTAATACGTCAAATAATAATAGCAGTATAAAAACAAATCGCATGTTAACCTGTTTTTGTAGTTGGCTTATTGTTTCAGATGTTACCGATATTTATAATATGTTTTTGTTGTTGGGTCTATGGTTTCCAGTCATATGTATATTTCAAATTTTTTGCTGCATGAGTACCTTTTTAAATGAAACACTACAAAAAAAAAAAAATAAAGGCGCAGTTATTTTTTTGGTTTAGTTCAGTTTTTCAATATGTCAATCTGACACAAGATTGTAAAGTGATTTAAAATAAGCGCAAAGTATCAAAATGCTGCAGACAAGGTTTTTGATAAATACAAAAAAATGATGAAAGCATATGAAAAGTATATATTGTTATCTGAACTATTTCTCTTTTAAGTTGAAAAATAGTAATATTTGAAAAAGCTTGTTTATTCACTATCCACTAAAAAAATATTTTGTTTCTTCTGCTGCTTTTTCAACATTCAGATGACAACTTCAGAACTGGTTGCATTAACATAATTCTATACAGAGGCATGAGCAAAGCAAACAGGTCACTGATGCAGTCCAGTGCTATTTGTGAAAAGTCACTATGAAAGGAAATATTAACTCTTATTACAAACAACCTTTGAATAATGAAAATTGTAACTGAAGGGTTTTGTGCAGTCGAGGTCTAAACCTTAGAGATGACGTCTTCAGTAATAAAAATATTCTCGGGATCTTAGAGTTAAATTCGACCCATTCTTTGCTAACCACTTATAAAACTGAGAAAATTAGGGCAGAAATTTTTCATACATTTCATTGAGAATTCATGAGAAAATCGTCTTTTTTTTTAATGACAAAAAATATTCTGCAATCCATTGGCAGCAAAGCGTCCAAAACTAAATACTTTTCACTGATTGTTGGCTCACCACACTGTACACTTTGAATCCATTTACCATCCATTTGTATATATTTGTATATTTTTAATCCATTTGTAAGTGAAAAGTATGAATCAACTCTAGCCGAATTAAAAGAACTGAAAAAAAACACAATTTCAAATGTCGAATTAACAGATAACATAAAGTTTAATGACAAAAACTATGATGTGAAAAACAAGCTTGCCGAACTTGAAGATCGAAGTCGCAGAAATAATCTTAGGTTTAATGGAGTCGAAGAAAGCGAGAACGAATCATGGGAAGACAGCGAGAAAAAAATTCAGGAAGTCTTAAAATCCAAGTTTGGTTTTACTAATAATTTAGAGATTGAAAGGGCACATCGAACAGGAAAAAAAGAAAAAGGAGTTAAAAAGAACAGAACAATAATTGTAAAATTTCTTAATTACAAAGAAAGAAACGAAGTTTTTGAAAAATTTATCAAATTAAAACTTTGGAATGAAAAACTATATGTTAATGAAGATTTTAGCGAAAGAACCATGGAAATTAGGAAAAAGTTGTTTAAAGAAGCGAAGGAATTAAGAGCCAAAGGTAAATTTGCTAAAGTTATTTACAACAAACTTATAACGCGCGATTTTTAAAATAAATTCTTTTATTTCTAGTTATTTAACTTTTAAAAATGGATTCTAATTATCAAAACAATTTTGATTCGTTATCATTTAACTTTTTTCAATCTAACGACTTGGTGCTTGACACTAATTCAGATCCGGATTTAAACTATTTTTGTGATGTAGGAGCTTTGCGAAACAATTGTTCCTACTTCTATAACAAAGAAATAAAAGAATTTATTTCTCGGGATCATTTAAATGTTATTCATTTTAACATTAGAAGTCTTAAAAAAAACTTTGAAAATTTGTGTACTATAATAGAGGAAACTTCAAATATATTTAGTATAATTTGCTTAACTGAAACGTGGTGTGAATTTGATGACGCTAAATCTAATTTAAATCTCCATCTTCCAGGTTTTAATATGATCCCACTAGCGCGTAAAGCAAATAAACGCGGAGGTGGTGTACTTTTTTATATATAAGAAAATTTGAGGTTTTTTATTAGGCCTGAGATGAGTATTTCTGATGTCAATAAAGAAATTTTAACAATTGAACTTTTAACCAATAATCCTAAAAACATACTTATAAGCTGTTGTTATCGCCCACCATCTGGCCATATTGAAAGTTTTAATGCATTTTTGTGTAATGATATTTTAAAAATTAGTTTTAAGGAAAAGAAACTAAATTATCTAATTGGTGACGTAAATTTAAATTGTTTTGAATATCACGTTAATAGCAACATTAAAAAGTTTTACGATGACTTATTCGAACATGGATCAATTCGACTAATTAACAAACTTACTAGAGTAACCTCAACTTCAGCTACCTTAATTGACAACATTATAACAACTGATATCTTCAATGAAACTCTTAAAAAAGGTATAATAAAAAGTGACGTTTCCGACCACTTCCCTATTTTTTTCTCTATTAATATTGACAACAAATTAATACAACAACATAAAAAAGTCATTATCAAACGCTTTTTCACCGATGCTAATCTTGCGTCGTTTAAGGATCAATTATCTTTATTAATTGGAATCATATAAACAGTTCGTTTGAAGCTAATGAAGTATACGATACATTCTTTCAAACTTTCTATTAAATATATGATGTAAATTTTCCAAAACGTGAGTTTATTAAAACAAATAAAAGTTTAAAGTCACCATGGGTCAATAAAGATCTTAGGAAATCCTCAAAAATAAACCAAAAACTGTATATAAAGTACTTAAAAAAACCAACTCTAGAAAATAAAATTATTTATAAAAATTATGCTAAAATGTTTGAAAGTCAAAGAAAAAAATTTAAAAAAAGATATTACTATGATTTACTAGAAAAATATAAACATAATTCAAAACGCACATGGCAAATTATAAG